ATTTCCATCCGCACTGCCTGGTTGGGAGGTACATATACCGCTCCCTTGAAGCGTAGGATGCCTGCATCGTCTACTCTCCAATCTGAAGAGCCCTTTGCTCGCGCCAACCCAATATCCTTGGCCCTTTTAACAGCTAACTCGTCAGTCGCCTGGAGGGTTTTGATCAAGTCTATTAGGGGTTCAGACGCAGCACTATAGGCGCTCTCTCCCTTGGCTACAGCAGCTACTGCAACCCGAGGGACAACGAGACCTGGACTCTTGGTGTCCTTACTATGGTCATCGCCCAGTCTTACGCTGCTAGCGTTTGCCTTCCTACGCTGTAGGTTAGGTTCTCCTATCTGAAAGCCTTCTTGGCTTGTTATCGTCCGACTTATCTGCGGGATACCTCCTGCCTGCATGGCTTCTCGGAGCTTGTTCTTAAGGGTCGGTAGCATCACATTCTGGCTACCCTTTTCACCCTCATAGTCTGGTCTCCTAGATGGACCATCTGCTGGGTTTGTTTTTCCCGCTCGATAGGAGATGTGGAAATCATAGGCTGATAACGCCTGCACCCACCGCGATTGCCTCCTTGTGAGGGCGGTGGTTTCCATAAAATACTTCAGATTGTTGTGATCTGTTAGGACCTCAATTGGGTACTGGCTTCCTTCGAGGTAGTGTCTCCACTGCTCGAAGGACTTCACGATCACCAGGAGTTCCTGGTCGTGGACTTCATAGTTCAGCTCTGCTGGATCTAGCTTTTTGCTGAAAAAGGCAACTGGGTGCCATTCGCCCTTCTCTTCTGGCTTAGTTCCTTCCACTAATTGAGACAGGTTCGCAGTGAGCGCAAAGCCTGACGAGTCCGTCTCGAGCCTGATTCTACGGCATGGGTCGAAATGGACCAGTGTGGGGGCTGTAGTGAAGGCCTTCTTCAACTGGCCGAAGGCGCTTTGCTGTTCCTCCCCCACACGAACGGGCCTGTCTGCTTGCCTGCCTTTGCCCCTTTCATAAGGCCTGTCATTGGGGCCACCACGGAGGAGTATTGCTTTACAAAGCGCCGGTAAAAGTTGGCAAAGCCGAGGAACACCTGGACCTCTCGATGGGTCCTAGGTATTGGCCAATCGGCGATTGCAGCAACCCGGTCGCTTTCCATAGCCACCCCTTCCGTTGTGACAATATACCCAAGGAAGCTTACCTTCTTGGCATTGAACTCGCACTTTGAGAGCTTCACGTATAGGTTCGCCTCGCGTAGGCGTCCTAGGACCTCTCGTACGTGGTCAGCGTGTTCCTCCTCCTTCTGGGAGTAGATGAGGATATCATCAAGGTATACGACACATATGGTGTCAACCAACCCTTGTAGGGTCTCATTCATGTACGCTTGGAACGTTGCAGGTGCGTTAGCCAATCCAAAAGGCATCACCCTGTACTCGAAGTGTCCGTATCGAGTACGGAACGCTGTCTTCCACTCGTCGCCTGGGCGAATACGGATGCGGTGGTAGGCGTTCCTAATATCAAGCTTTGTGAAGCACCTCGACCCTTGGAGCCGATCCAAGGTCTCCGTGATCAGTGGCAGCGGGTGTCGATTCTTCACGGTAATCTTATTCAAGCCTCTGTAGTCTACGCAGAGGCGTAGGCTTCCGTCCTTCTTCTGAACGAATAGGATGGGTGCGCCTGCAGGGCTTACACTCCTTCGGATCCAACCCTTCTTCTCGCTCTCGTCGAGGTATTTACGGAGCGTGGCCAGCTCCGTTTCCGATAGGTTATATACTGGCCCATACGGTGGTTCCTGGGGCCCAGTATCGATGGCATGGGTTTTCCTTCCCAGCTCTGGCAGTTCTTCTGCCTTTTCCTCCGAGAAGACGTCGATATAGTCCTCGTATTCCTTCGGGCATTGGGTAGGCGCTCTATCATCTGTGTTTAAGGCCAAGACGAAGGCAGTATCACCTTCCTCCCATTCTTCAATATCCGCCACCTCGGCTCTCGCAATATCGAAGGGCTGGCGCCAGGTCTGTTTGCGCCAGTCGATCTGGGGGTTGACCTGCGTCATCCAATCCATCCCAAGGATGACGTCTACTCCTGGGGTGTCCATGGAAAGGAGGGTCTGGGCGACCACGCATTCCCTTTGAAAGTGGTCCCTAGCTCGGACCTGGGTGGTGGCCGCTCCATATATCACAACCTCTTTTCCATCGACTGCCCTTGCCCGTGGCGGTGCCCTATCCCGGCACTCCAAACCCTTCTCTTTGGCAAACAGAGGGTGGATGGTGGACGCGTCAGATCCTGAGTCGAGGAGGGCTTTTGCCTTGTGCCATCCGGGCCTACCTGCACCTCTACCTCGATCTCCATTCGACGCTGCGCCGTAGGCTTCTGGGGATTCTGCTGGGAGTCACTCCCTCTTGGGGGGTGTAGGCGTCCAATTTCCTCACCCCTGGGCCTGTGTGTTGGCGTGGGCCTCGACATTCCTTCGCGAGGTGGCCCGCCTTGCCACAGTTATAACAATTGATTCCGCTAGGGATTGGCCTAGCGTCCCTACTGTGGGTAGGGGCCTGTCCTCTCGGCCGCTGGTCTTGTGGGCGGTGTCTATTCCAGAAGGGTGTTCTTTCTCCTTGGGCCGAGGGCTGGGGAGCCCTGTGGCTGCCAGAGTTGCCCTTTAGGAATGGAAAGCTGCCCTGGGAGGTATTCCTTCCTTCCCTTGAGTTGGACTTGTCAACAGTAGGAGTTCTCTCTGTTACCCACTGGTTTGTCATTTCTAACATCGCCAGGATATTAACGATAGCGTCCCTGTGGGTAGAGGAACGCTCTGCGTACCCTCCTTCAAGGAGCCGCTGCCTCATCTCTGGGTGAATCTTCGTCAGAAGGTGGACAGTCTTCTGCGATTCAGTATACGGTTCCATCTCGCGTTTGAGGTCCTCAAGGTAGGCCACGAACTTGCGGATGCTCTGCCCTTTCCGTTGTAGGGCGACGTTATACTTCAAGGCCGCGATGCGTTGTCGGTTGGCTGGGTCGACATGGAGGTCCCGAAGAAACTCTTCGAACCCAGCGATATCCAAGGGATCTATGTATCCTTCTCCTTGGGTTGCGCACCGGTTATCCCATTCCTTCATAGGGTGTCCTTCCAAGTATTGGGCAGCGAAGGCCACCTTAGATTGCTCAGTTGGAAAAACCCTTGGTTGGTATCGGAAGATAGCGCGGATCGAGGCCATGAACTCGTTGAGCTCTCGGATGGATTCGCCCTTATATACCTTAGGTTCCTTGACCCTTCCTATTGGCCTCTGGGCTGGTGTGACCTCCATTGATACGGTAGAGGCAGTCTCTGCCTCCTCCTCTTGTTGGGGTCCTTCCCACTCGTCCTCAATATCTTGGTGTCGCCTTTTCCGACGGTTCTCTTCCTGAATCCGGGCTTGCTTCTTCGCGAAGTCCCGTACCGCCTCAGGGTAGGCGTTGTAGTCGTCGCCGTGCGTTCTTCGGAAAAGCTCTAGGGCTTCCTCCATCGTGTTGATGTAGGCCTCTCTTCGTCCATCCGCTTCCGAAGGTCTGCCAGCTTCGAGGCCATGCTCTCGTCCTGGCCTGCCGTCCAATGGCTAGCTTCTACGGATGTAGTTCTTGGAGCTGGCTCAGTGGCGTCAGTTGCTGGCGTTGCTCCTCCAGAAGTCGCACGCGTAATCCTTCTTTCCATACTCGCCATCCTGACCCAGTAGGCTGGATATGGGTGCAGTCAATAGAATTGTAAAGCGTAAGCCTAAGGTCTCACGGGAGTCCAGGGAACCAGGTCAGGAGGCAGGAAGGTATCGTATTCTGTAAGCACAATAGGTCTACGTAGATACATCGACTATTGACTGGAGGCCTTCTTCTGAGGCCTCCAACCCCTTTTATCTATGCACCTTGTGCCCTATTTTACCGAGCCCTATGGGCCGCTTATGAAAGGGACCTCACGTGGTGGCACGTGATGGCCTTCCTTACAGCTTCTTACTCAACTTAATATAGTATTCTTTATAATACTATAGCATGTTACTTAGAAGCCTTCGTGTCTAATCCCCTGCCTCCTTATAACACTAACTTCTAAAATGATAGAAGACACAGAGGTTTCTTATGTAAGGTTGACTTGATAGAGGAGGCAGGGGATTAAACACAAAGGCTTTCTAAGTAACACGTTATAGTATCATAAAGAATACTATATTAAGTTGAGCACGAAGCTCCTATCTAAGGGAATACTATCTACTTATATAGTAGTGTCATGCCTCATAGATAGTCCTGATAGTTGATGGATAGCTAGATAATCTAGATAGTTAATGGATAGCTCAACTATCTAATATCCACTAGTTTCTACAACTATCCACTAGCCTAGTCATGCTACAGCCTAGCCCTGCTAGCCTTGTAACTTCTTAGTTCACGTTACTAGAGCCTAGCCCCGCTAGCCCTGTAACTAACGTCACATTACCGTAGCTGTAACACTCCTCTGTTAAGTTAAACCTTATGCAAGAAACCTCTATACATCCTATTAGATAGGAAGTAGTGTTACATATGGTCCAAGAAGAGGCGCTAGGAATGAATAGGGTCATTATGTGGTGGGTAGTAGTAGTAGTAGCAATGGTCAATTTTTGGTGTTTTCATAGCTCACTTGCTTGTGAAATACGTTATTTAATTGTAATGTTGACGTTTAGAGCTGTATAGCAATACCGAGCAGATTTACCCCATCAATTGTAGGTACTACGGTTGGGGTTCAAACGCCGGTCTTCACTATAAGCTATAGATTACGGGCAGCTCTTCCGACGGTCTAGCCCAACCCAGTTCTTACACGGTCGTCGGCCTCAAACACAGGTCGTATAGCGGTCGTTCAAAAAGACCGCCATACAACGGCTGTATAGCGGTTATCAATTTAGGTGCTAGGCCAGTAAGGACGGGCCAATACAGGGGTTAATACAGGGGCCAATACAGGGGCCAATACTCCGTACACGATGAATAATTCCTAAAATGCTGATTAGTCTTTGGCAATGGAGCAGATGTATCATTCGCCTCGAGGATATATTCCCTCATATCGCTGGCCTAGTTATCGACGTTGCTGTGGATAACATTTAACATTACCTTGTATTCCATTGGCAACTAAAGTACTGCGGTATACTGCACCAACACTACGATCTTAGATTCTACCGCAATTGTCATCGAGCATCGCCGAGGGGCCGATAAGACACAAGTAGTCCTCCAACACCAAAACACAAACTTCTTTATTCGAACCAGAGGATAAAGACTTCGATTTCAACCTCGCCCCCGTACGAAATGTCTACGGCGATTCAAAGTCACCGCCAGCAACCGGGCCTTGCATGCGAAGATTGTCGGCGACGGAAGGCCAGGTGTGATCGCGTCCGTCCTGTATGTGGCTCCTGCCAAGATTCCGGCAATACGTGCCGTTATGTCGACAAGTGGCCACGCGGAGGGCCAAGAAAAGGGCAGATGTTAGCGCTTAAGAATCTCGTTAGTAAGTCGGCTTCTTCAAATCTCCTAATCGCTCTATTTTCTCTATTTCAGGCGTCCATACGATCGATGGAAGCTGACTTCCTGCAGCTAATCTCGAGCAACGCCTCGGCGAGCAGATGAGAAAAGCGCAGCCTGACCATGACGCTATTCTATCGGATACTCGAATAAATCCCGATGCCTCACTTGCAGAAACAGAGCCAGCGACACTCTCAACTCATTTGGAGAACGACACTCTTGGTAGTGCAGCCTTTGAAAGCACTGGTCTCGATTGCACGAGTCTCGAAAGTACAAATGTTGAAAACACAGGACTATCAAGCACTCTTCCGGAAAGGACACTCTTTCAAATCCCTGGTTTCGTAAATGTTGATATGAACTCCGTTTGGGGGTTGCACGGAAAGCCCAAGTAATGCCATGTTTGACCAAACTTTCATCAGCGATTGGCTTGATGGTGACGCAGATCTATCACCTCCAAAGACAGTATCCGGTACGCAGCAAGTCTTCACACCAACAAACATGCAGCATCTCGGTGGCTGCGCTCTATCAGACCTGATGAAGGT